TTAAGACCATTCGTTCACATTGCACAGAAAGAACTTTTATACACATCCAACCGATTCACCTCCAAAATTTTCTTTTAGTCACACGTTTCGATCACAATGCCCATTTCTTTTTCTTTTGAATGAGGTAAGTTTATTTTTTATTTTTTTCACTGTAAACTTCCATCGCCTACTTGCCCCTCTGTAGTAAATCTCAGTGCGATACACTAAGAAACCAATTTTTGCGGGCCGTCTAAAGTGCCTTAAAGGGATGCTGAACCGAAATTTGGAGCTCACAAAACAAGGGTGGAGCAGTTGGCTGGGCGCTGCCTAACCCAAAAACATCACTAACACAGCGATATCTCTAATCGATGGCCATATTTTTGGAAAAGAAATGCGCGATTGAACACGGCTGATAAAGCAAACGAATACATAAGAGGGCGTGATTCTAGTTCCCTCTCCTCTTTGCTTTGTCTCCTCGAGCAGGTGAAGTGAAGCAAGGAGGAGAGAAGCGAGCCCGCTTCCCCTCGTTCTCAACTGTTCCAGGAGGATTGTAACGTCGTAGTCCTTGCTTGATCACGCCCTTCTTTTCCAAAAATACGGCCATTGTTTAAGATATTGATGCATGAGTGATGTTTTGGAGTTTGTAGCTTCCCGTTCAACACTTAGGCGGCTTTATTTTGCGAAATTCAAATTACGCTTCAGCATCCCTTTAAAGAACCACTGAAAAGAAAAAAAATGCTTTTTTAAATAGTCTGGGAGGGACATGCGCATCAAAAATCAAATTTACGGTAAAAAAAAAATTTTTTTGGAGAACTATTGACGGCACGCGACGCGATTTAGTTAGTAGTCCCCTCGTTTGCACTTGTTTCCTCTCTCAGTTTTCGGGCTCATGGAGGAGAGGTGGATCGGCTTGGCCATCACGTTGAGGTGGAGGGAGTGTATGAACACGTCCTTGAGGTGGAAAGAGTGTACGGCCATTCCGTGACGTCATGGACTTTGCACGCGGAATTTGAAATAAATCTCGCGCCGTCAATATTACTCTTAAATTTTTTTGTTGTGTAAAATTCATTTTTCGACGTGTGTCCCAATTAGACTGTTTAAAAAAAAAAACAATATTTTTTCGTTTCAGTGGTTCTTTAAGGGCACAGGGTAAGGATAAATTAAAAAGAAATCTGTTCTAGCTTTTTTTGCAATTTGAAAAGTTTATTTCTTTCTGCACATTTTTTATTGTCACACTTTTCTTAGAAAGTTATATTTCGGGCTGAAAAACACTTCTTACGAAAGCAAGAAGCGGGTGGTTGCACCCTCTTTCAAGATACATTCCTTGCTTTTCAATAAATTTTTCTACAAAAAAAAAAAAAATAATAACTCCAAATTTAAAAGCATATTTGGAACGAGCTACACTGTAGAAAGGATCTTGCATCTATTGCAAAGCTTTTTTTTAACCTAGACAATCCCAAGAGGTTATGCACGTTTTTTCCATGTGCATACTTTCAAGCTCCTGTGTTTTTGAACGACTGAATGACGACATTGGATGCTCTTCTTTCATTCAGTGATGGAAGCATTGCACAGGCCAATGTTTTGAAGTCTTGTGGATTGAACCCTGGGTGGATGCCATCAAGTGTCTGAAGGAAGTTGAAGTTACTCGAATATACATTGCTGACCGAACAACATGGCAGGTCACAAAAGAGGCCTGGCAAGCAAGGCAAAAAGTGAAGACATGACTCTAACAATGACTACTGAGCTGGCGGCTATTAAATAAATGACTCTGAGGGTGTTGGTGCCAATAGCAATTTGTTAATCACCTGCCTCTAAACTTGATTATCTTGAAATAGTGCTTTTAGTACACAGGTGTCATTTACTTAACCTGCCAATATGGAGCGTTGATTTTTTACTCCTGCCATTTACATAGGTGTTGAAAAGTACTGAGCTAGAAAGAAAAATATGCACCTAGCAGTTTTATGCTAGATATGCGTTAATAAAAGATAAAATTTCATTAGTAGAAAAAGAAAATTGATAAGAAATGTAATTTTGAATTGGTTTTATTAATTCTAGTTCAGCAAAAAAAGCACGAAATTTGTTAGGTATTTCGGACCTTAAAGAGGAACTGTGACCTGCCCGATAGAAAGAGTGCATATTCACGATTGATGTTTTGGACAGCTTGAAGTCCGAAAGTAAAATTTTTCGGACAAAATCGTTGCGAGCGATCAGTGGGAACCACCACCGAGAAGCGGCCATTTTGGATTCTATGTTGGCTGTACATGGATTGGCGTGGTTTGGCAGCGCTACTTGAATACTGTTGCGTTCTACTGCTAGGTGACACTGTACAACTTCTTTCTCAATCTCTGCACGTCATTATCATCATCATTGTTGTTACCATTTTGCTTTGTTCAATTGCCATTGCAATCATGGACTTGTGCCTCTCACCTCGATCTCGTCTCGGTGAATTGTGTTTTCGGACTATGCTGGTTTGGACGTCATTGCCCCATCTGTTCTTCCGCCGCCGCAATGTGTCGCTAAGAAACGCAGGAAGCACTCGACCATAGCATTAGAAAAGAAGGCAGCGATTCTCAAACTAATAGAAAGTTGCCGAACGCAAACGGAGGCGTAACGTGAAACGAGCCGCGCAGGAGTAACCTTAAGCAAGGCTCTACGGCTTTTTTAAGCCAGTTTTTTTAATCTGCTGATTTTTCGGGCTGCTCTATTATTCGGATGTTTTTTCGGTCCTTGTAAAGTCCGAAAAATCGGTCAGTGACTGTATATGACAGAAATACTCCTATTAATTACAGAGAAAAATGTTCCTCTACATGGCCTAAAATGCATGGGCTGTATAGGACTTACCCTCTCTCTGCCCTTAAAGGGGGGGGGGGGGTGCAACAATATTAAAATTAAAAGAGTTTGCGTCTCGTCCTTTTTACGTTGTTTATCGTGTCTCAAAGGATAGAGAAAACATCTAATCTATTAAAAAATGTTGCGATTAAGCTGCATAAACGTAAAGCAAAAGTCCAACTTTTTCCCCCACCTGCAGCCGCGAGTGGCAGCCGAAGGAAGTACGGCGAAAAGCTTACGTGACGTCGCTCGGCTCTAAGCTGCAGCATACTGCCCGCTAATGTCAGCAGGGAGAGGGAGAAGTGCCCTTCGATAGAGCACACGGGAAGCTACACGGCACCCCGAATTACGTCACTAGGAGGGGGACCAGGTGTGACTTTTTAGACTGGGAGTGAGTTGAGGGGTGCTTGAAATGCCAATATTTATCTTTTTTGTACACAACAACTAGGACATGCAGGTGAAATTGGTTTTCTGTTCTTTACTCCAGAAGGGTGTCAGAGGGCAACTTCCACAAATTTTTGACCGAAGCCCGGAAATCGTTGCACCTCCCCTTTAAAAGCCTTAGTTTACATGCTGTAGGACAGTGGTTCTCAACCATCGATGTTTTGCGGACCTCTTGTGGACCAGCGGAGATGATGGAGGACCCCGTTCGGGGTGAGGGGAGGGAGAATGTATAAGTTGAATCTAATAATGACATTATAAATGGATTTAGCTAAAAGCTAGTGTGAAGTAGACTTCTCTTATTGAAATACAGACGAAAAAACTAGCCCGTAATTGTAAAAAAATCTTTTTCGATCGGAAGAAAATACAACTTTTATTGCCGGGCTTTACAGATGAGGCAGGGCTTCGCGGACCCCCAGAATGCCTTCGCGGACCCCTTAGGGTCCGCGGACCCCCATTTGAGAACCACTGCTGTAGGAACTTCAACACCCCCCCCCCCCTACCCCCTTTTTCCCCCCCCCTATGAAATATCTTTGGTACATTGCTTTCACTGTTACAAAAACACGACCCATTCTTCCTCTGAGAAGCTTATATAATATAGTTTCAACTATAAACCAGAACAGTGATTTTTATCCTGACTGAGATGTGCAATGCCTTGTTCTTCTGAATGAACAAAATGGTAAAGCATCACTTGTCAGTGATCCGAGATTTGAAAGGGAACTGGGTTGGCATTTTCTAAAAACTATTGACCTTCTGTGCTGACCAAACTTAAATTGTATATTATACCATCTTTTTTCTTTTTTTGTATTGGAACATTGAAATTTGGAGTTTGTCAGAAGTCTGAATTCGCAAAAAATTTACCGGCGGGTGTTTGGTGGAGTTTTTCAGATTTATCCGAAAACACGGAATCCTAAGTATGGGTTATCATTCTGGCAGACACCACAGGAAGCAGTAGAAAAGGCAATTGGCAAGTGGGATTACAATAATATGGGACAGGTACGCAACAAACTAGCTTACTTTAGCCATTATTAAATATATTAGCTGTGAGAAGTATCTAAACAGATTTTCACTTCTGTTTTTTTTTAATTTTATGCTTCCTCATTTAAGCAGGATGTACTGATGTATGACATGGGAAATATGAAATCTTGGAAACTCGCTTGTCGACTTAGGTCTTGGACTCCTCATTTTGCTGTTGCATTTGTTCCTAAGCTTCTACTGCGGTAAAATGAAGTGCACCCGTGGGAGGCATGGCATATCATTTTTTTTTAATCTACCAGTTCAGGGGTTTAACATACTTTTTTTAGCTGAGTGTGGAAGCTGGTGGGGGGAGGGGGGGGGGGGGGTGTTGTAGTTGTCAGATATAACACGATTTAGGCAGGGTGGAGGATGTTGCAACATGTATTACCAAACAGATATTTAGCCAGAAAGGCGGGATGGCAATCTTTGGGGGAGGAGAGAGTATGTTCGTTTGTGGATTTTACAGTATTTGAAGTATGATTCTACCTGCATAACTTTTGTCTCAGAAATTTTTTTATTATTACGTTTTTGCACACAAGGGTAGATTAAAAAAAAAAAAAAAAAATAAACTGTACTCCCCAGAAGCATTTATTTCCTAACCTGTTTTAAGTTTTGCGTACCAAGGTGCAGTAGTAATTGTTGCCGATAAGCCATTGTTTTGGGCGTGATACATATTTTGTGATTTCAGTTCTACAGTGCCTGACTGTGCCTTGCGCTTTCCTCCTCCTTACAAGGTGCCACAACATCGGAGTGTTGGTGCTTGTGCTGCACGACCTCTCGGACATCCTGCTCGAGTTTTCCAAGCTGAACGTGTACCTCAAGGTGCGAGGGGGAAAGTTGCACTCCATACACGACCACATGGCCACGGTGGCATTTGCCTGCTTTGCCATCACCTGGTGAGTATGCACATATTCCGTTCTTCTTTCATCTGCATAATCATTGACTTCACCAACAGCAGGAGTTTGAGTGCAAAGGTGCCTTCAAGCTGTGCATACAGGGAAAGACACATAGAGATACTGTGTGTAATTATGTGCTGACCAACGTCGGGGTTTGTCCAATCTCTTGGAGGCTCTTTTCTCTTGGAGGCTCTTTAGTTTGGTCGTCTATGGCAATGCCACCTCCAGGCGTTGCCTCGCTTAGTTTTCCCGGTGACGCAGAGGAGACGAGCTCTCTCGGCGGGGTCGTGGCGTTGGAGTCGCTGAACGTCGTGGCGATGGTGGGCGTGATTCACGGTGGAGAGACGGCACTGAAGAGGGCGAGCGTCGGAGGTACTCCTCAATGTCACGAGGGCGTTCGCCGTACCTCGGGCATAAGTCGTTAGGATGGAAACCATACAGCCCAAGTCGACGGTAGGGGCAGCCGTGGTAGATGTGGACGGCTTCCCCGCAGTGGTAGCAGAGCGGGCGTCGGTCGGCCGTTCGCCACACGTCGGTCTTTCTCGTCGAGGGTCGCTCCGGGCAGACGGAGTTGGCTTGTTCCTCCTGACGCTGAGAATACCGCGACGCTTGGGCGTCTCTTCGGGGTGAACCGGGGCCTGGCGGGGAGCTTGCGGCGGTCGTCGGGCCACGGAGGCGTAGCTCAACGTCGGTTCTTCTGGCATCGTCACGTTGATGGGAATTGCAGGTTGTACCGCCTGTTTGACTTCCCCGCGTACAACCTCGGCGATGAAGAGTGTTGCCGGACGACTCGAGGCTGGCAGCAACCTGCTGAGTTCCTTCCGGACAATGTCTTGGATAATTTCGCGGATGTCCAGGGTTACGGGGAAAATTTCGCCGCTAAGCAGGGTGGATGCAGTGACACCTGGATGTCGTTGGCAGTGGAAAGAGCATGGTCGGAGGGTGCGCTCGATGTTGATCGCCTCCGTGACGAAGGCTTCGACGGCAGTCGGCGGGTTATGGACAGGGCCTCCAAAGATGTTATCCCTCACACCTCGTATCAGGATCCGCAACTTCTTTTCTTTGGTGGCTTGAGAATCGGCGTGAGCGATTAGGTGCAGAACATCCTCGACAAATTTGATGATGGTCTTGTGTGCACCCTGGATCCTCATTCAAAGAAGGTCCTCGGCCCTCTCCCGTCGATACTGGTTGGTGAAAGTCTGTCGCAACTCGTCCTTGCAGGCGGTCCACGAGATAAACAAAGTCTCGCGATTTTCGAACCAGTTCCTGGCCGTTCCTTCGAGCGCTAAGTAAAGATTTTGCAGGCGCTGTTTGTCCGCCCATCGGTTGTGCTGGGCCACTTGCTCGCACTGTTGTAGCCAGTCCTCGATGTCTTCATAAGGCTCACCACGGAAGGTTGCGGGCTTATGGGCAGTGAGGGGTAGGACAACGACGAGCGGGGTGGTCATTGTCGGTGTCTTCTTCCTCCGGTTCTCGGGCAAGAGACCCAATTCGGGGGACTGACCTCTAGTACGACGGCTTCTTCGGGCTTCAGCGTCTTTGGCGAAGGGTAGCCTTCCGGGGCTGAGCACGTCGCTTCTTCGGGATGTCTTCGGAGGGGTACGCTCCACAGAATGCCACAAATGAGATGATAACTGAAGGAACTAAATGTTTAATGGGGTGAACTTCTGCCCGAAACAAAAAGGAAACAGAAGAAAACAGCAGAGCGTCGCAGGCGTCAATGTCGGCGAAATCGCAGGATGGAGCGCTGGAGCGAGACTGATCCTGGCTCGCCATGCGGAGCGCCTTTTGTACCGGCACGGGTTTCTGAAACATTCGGCCTAGAACGCTCGGGGCGTAGAACATTCGTAACTCGGTGAAACAAAAAAGTTCTCGAACTTGTGAGAACGAAAAGTAGAAAGAATAAATAAAAGACACGTCGCTCCCAGGAATCAAACCTTGGCTCTTCGTGTGTGGGGCAAGCACAATAACCGTAAAGGCCACGGCCACGCTGCCTACTTGGCAGCTGCACGCGCGGCAATATGTTGCCTGTGGAAGTTGTCGCAAGGTCTTTCGCGGGTGAACTAAGACATTGATCCCAAAGTGCCGATTATCATTTGGCCCATTACGCTGCCGGTGCTGTTAAACCACAGTCCGCGCCGATTGGCGACTTGCAAGAAATGGAGTCGCCACTGAAGCAAGCTTTCTTTTGCATTGGCCTACTAAGTGGGAACTTGAGATTGGACGAGTTGATTGTTCATGTTTATCGACGTTTAGCGCACTCGAAAAACTGTCATTCAAGCATTCACACACCCAAAGAACACGAGAAGAAGAAGAGGAACAGCTAGAGAGCGGACGTGTTTTTTTTAACTCAATTTTTCTGCTCCTGAATCACCTCTTCAACTGGCCCCACCGGGGCCAACAACCTCCCCGGTGATCATCTTCACCAGACTCATCAGAGGTACCAAGATTCTCGCCGGCGAGCCCGAATTTCTCCCAAATATGGGGATCCTTGCCTCGACAACGGGCCGGCGGGAGCTAAGCCTAACTTAGGCCAGGGCTCCTGGACGGCTGCCTGTGGCCTCGGCCCCTGGCCAGGACGCCTCTAGGGCGAAATGGCCGAGACACCCCAAGAGAGCATGGACCAGGACCCTAGGGTCAAGTCAGTCCGTGGTCACGAGCCCCCTGGAGATTCGTCGGAACTCCAGGAATCCCGAACCTATACAACGGGAGAAGGGTCTGGAAGCTTCCAGGACTGCTCCACCGTTCACCAGGACGAGGGAAACAATCTCCCATGGACCGAGATTCTAAGGCGGAGGGACAAGAGGAGATCAGCACGAAATCTCCAAAAACCCGATAACGTTCCCGAAGCTTCGACGCACGAGAGCGTGATGAGCAACATGGCGGCAAACACAGGTAAAGGCGGGAAAAACCGGATATCCCCGTCGGCTTCCCCAAAAGAGCCCGGCAAAAAATGGCGGCTTCCAGACCAAACGAAAGCTGGTGGCCGAAAGACTCCCACCACTTCCCAGGGATCACTACAAGGTAGTTCTTAGGCCCTTCGATGGGCTCACACTCGCCGAAAAAGCCCCCCAAGAGATGATGAACGCATTAGCCACAGCGTGCGGCCTGAAGGAGCTGGAGGGGGAAGATTCGACACTCCGAATCCGCAAGGACCAGAACCTAATGATCTTCAGTACACCCAGCGTCGGTACGGCGGAAAGAATGGCCCGAGTGAAACACCTAAGTTTGAACGGGCAGGACTACGTCATTGGAGCCTACATCGCCGCTCCGGACGACTCCTGCAGGGAAGTCATAACCAAGATCGGATTCGGGTTCAGCACCGAATATCTCACCGAGAAAATCAGACCGATGGGACCCGAAGGCCCCAGAGTTCTCAACGCACGCATGATGGGCAAGTCTGATGCGGCGCTCATCACATTCCAAGGAATCAGGGTTCCACACTTCGTACGCTTCGGAATGGTGGAATGCCGGTGCAAACCCTACTTTCCCAAGGAACAGGTTTGCGATTACTGCCTTGGGCTAGGGCACAGAACAGACGTATGCCCCTACCCCGAGCAGAACAAGTGCTCTACATGCGGCCTCCTAAACGGAGATATGGAGGAGAACGAATGCTCACCCTACTGCATACACTGCAAGGGACAACATCCGTCCAACGATCCCAAATGCCCGGCGAGAAAGCGTGAACCGTATAACAAGGGCCGGCTCCGTCCTGGAGCCGGCCCTTGTTATACGGTTCTGCAGAGGGCAGAACAGCAACAGAGACGGAGACAGTTCAAGGGAACCAAGGAACAGCAGAGCCAAAACAATACCAACGCTAGACAGCCGCTACAGCAATGGCAGCGGAAACTTTCACTGCTTACGATGACCTCGCAATTCCACTGGCCGGCGCTGGAAAGTAGAGGGGTCGCTACAACAAACCTCTACGCTCTTTTGGCCAACGCGGGTCCTGAGAGCTACGCAGCGGCCCTCACACAGGCATCGGGATGGAACCAGGGGAACCAGCATTTCTACTATGGACCAAGGATGGGAATACCCGTACTGAGCGAGTATGGACCGGCACCTGGGACATCGGGAAAAAAGAAAAAACCCAGAAAGAAAACCAAACGGGCGGCACAAGATCTGCAGGATCAGGGAGAAGTCCAGGGCCCCACAGCAACGGGCAGTCCAGACCGAGGAGAGCAGGTGAGCCGAGCGGGACAGTTTCCCCAATCCTCTATCACCACACCCTATCCCACACACACCACACAAACAAACACCCAAGTGCGCCCGAGATCGACAACAACAGGGGAATTAAGCCCCAAACCACCTCCGGCCAAAAGAGCCCTAATCGAACAGCAGAGCAACAAAACCCAAAACAAACCAGGCTTTGTAACGTGTGAGGAGTTCTACCGAGAGGTACGAGCTCTCCACGCAGAATTACAAACAGCTAAATTCGAACTAATGCAAGCATTCTATTTGGTTCTCAAAGAGACGGGTCTAATTAAAGAGCTAACGACCTCCTCTCTTAGCCAAACCGGGAACCCGATAGTCTTGCAAGTTGTCGCGGCCCGAACACCCAACCCGAATGTGACCGAGGCCATACAACCAAACCCGAGCGTAGCTTGCTGCTCCCATGATGGAAACGGAGGGAGGCAGTAGTGACGGCCACATGCATATGACCGAAACTAACACCGAGCTCAAGGCGGAGGAATTGGGTCTTGTGTGGCAGTGGAACTGCAGAGGCTACCGCCGTAAACGTGGAGCACTAACTCAGTTCTTAGAGACGCGAGACTGCAAGCCTGTCGCTATAGCCCTACAAGAAACAGGCAACATACCCTCGCTCTCAGGTTAGGTAGCCTTCTGCCAGGAAACAAAAGACGAAGACGAGGAGCCAAGAGTCGCCACACCGGTAGCCAAGCACGTTCCCGTGATAGAACACAAACTCGCTGCGCCCGTCCCTCACGTCTTTCTCGAACTCTTGGCCAGGGATCGAGAAAAGTGCAGTCTCTTCCTGTTAA